CTGCTCTGGAGCCAGGCTGGGAGAGCTGGGGGGGTTCCCCTGGAGAAGAGAAGGCTCCAGGGAGAGCTGAGAGCCCCTCCCAGGGCCTAAGGGGACTCCAGGAGAGCTGGAGAGGGACCTGGGACAAGGGATGGAGGGACAGGACACAGGGAATGGCTTCCCACTGCCAGAGGGCAGGGAGAGATGGGATATTGGGAAGGAGTTGCTGGTTGGGAGGGTGGGGAGGCCCTGGCCCAGGTTGGGCAGAGGAGCTGTGGCTGCCCCTGGATCCCTGGAAGTGTCCAAGGTCAGGTTGGAGCAACCTGGGCTGGTGGGAGGTGTCCCTGCCCATGGCAGGGGATGGGATGGGATGGGCTTTAAGTTCCCTTCCCACCCAAACCATTCCATGTGTGAGAAGCCCCTCAGCCCCTACTGTCCCTACACCAGGGTTGAATGAGCCAAGTGCCTCCATGGGGAGCAGCAGCACCATCATTCCACTGCTCCACAGCTGACTGGGATTGTTTTTCCCACAGATTCCCGAGCAGGATGCGGAGTACGTGGAGGACAGTTTCTGTGTGGGGGATGAGGAGGAGGAAGCCTGCAGACAGAGTGGGCCCAGCGAGGAGGAGGAGGAGGAGTGTGTGAACTGGGATCTCCTCACCAGGGACAGTGTTCCTGGCCGGTACCTGACCCGGCGCAGGAGGAGACTGAACCAGGCCGGGCTGGAGCAGAGCCCGCCTGCCCCGGGGCACAGGAAGAAACCATCCCGGGTCATTGTCCTCAGTGACTCCAGCGAGGAGGAGACGGCTGTCAGCGGGGAGCAGTCCATGGCAGCAGGCTGTTCCAGGGCAGGACAGGGGAGCACAGAGTGCCCCCAGCCCTCGGTACCCCCTGCACAGCACAGCCACGGTGCCAGGGCAGTGCCAGCCCCTCGGCCTGGGGGGCACGACAGGGACATGCTGCTTGGCCTGCAGGCTTCAGGCTGTGAGAGGCTGGATTTGCACCCAGACCATCCCAGCAGGAGCACGTCCTTCCCACCAGCTGCCCCTGGCTCTGTCCAGGCTCCCAGTGAGGTCAGTGTCCAGTCACAGCAGGGACCTTCCTCTCACCCCACATGCTGAGAAGGGATTCCTGGGGCAGGGCTGTTCTGGGGGCTGTCACAGCACAGCAGCAGGAGTCAGGGAAACCTGGAATGGTTTGGGTGGGAACGGACGTTAAAAGGGTTGGACTTGATGATCTCGGAGGTCCCTTCCAACCCAGCTGATTCTGTGATTCTATGATCTCATTCCAGCCCCTGCCGTGGGCAGGGAC